GGGGGGGGGGGGGCCTAATTCGAGGATTAATAGCCCGGAAACAGCCCTTGTCTGACACAACCGGGCGACAGTATAGCCGAACATAAGTCTTACTACAAAGACATGACGCAGTTCTTATATCAAGGAGATCTGGTTAATACAAACTTTAGCAATGCTCTAATAAAGTATTCCCACAAAGTTAGAGGGTAAATAAACGGCAATGAAGAAGCAGTCCAATATCTGACCTTCTACATTGACCCGACTAACACTATAAACAATCGTGACACCAACTACGCGAACGGGCTGCGACAATAGGGCGTAGACTTGCGATATGCTAAAGAGTAACTTATCACACTAGGAGGCGATCAAAGGTCCATACGCTAATTGTAAAACAAACGGCTAAAAAAACCAAGCACTGTGCTGAACAGATACGCTAAAAGGAAGTCAGCCAATGAAGAAACAGTCCAATACCTGACTCTCCACACTGACTAGACTGCTGTTAAACAATAAATAACTATAAAACCGATGGTTTAGTCCCGAAGGTTACCGAGCAGGGACAAGTTTGCGTTCAAAGGTAGTCAATTTGCTGTGTGAGAATAAAACAGCCAGCCATCTATCGTCTATCATCATAACAAATCTCGATCAATTCAAAACTCTGTGCATACACAGTAACACCAAAATTCACATCCATTCGATTTAATAACGGAAGAACGATTTTTCAGAGAGGAAAATTTAAATTTATTTTTTGATAATGTTAACTGATAGTGGTATTTTGGTTTCCCAAGGAGTCCCAGCGTCAGCGACAATTAACGATCTGCCAAATGAAGTAACAGATAATACTATCACTCTGAAGTGGGACGAACCGCAAAATAATGGAAGAGTAATCACACAGTACACTGTGTACCAAAGAATAGTGACTGATGGTAAGCCAGGAGAGTGGATCAAGCTAACGACAATTACAGATGTCTCAGTGAGGCAATTACAAGTTGAATTGAAGAAAGGCGAGGTGAATGAATTTGTGGTTACTGCAACAAACGAATTTGGTGAGAGTTTAATAGAAGATGGAAAGATTACGAGAGTCAAGGCAATCGGAGGTAAGTTCTATATTAAACTAAACTGTCTATTTGTCAATGAAATTCCAGAATTGCTGGGCTTAAAACGTCGCTGAAAGACCAGGAATTTTTAGTTCATTAGTTCTGATGTATCAATAAACATGTAGGTTGCGGCCATTCAAACACTAAGGGCTCATTTTCGAGAATTGTTACGCGCTTCTGAACCCAATTTTTCCACCGAATAGTTCATACAACAGTGATTGCCCCTATTATATGGACTGGCACAAGGATTTGGGCTTTCAGATTTGCCGAGAACATTTTGGACAGAAACAATCCTTTCTTCAAACACGATTTGGTTTAAAGCAATAGATTTGCTTGTGGGGTCGTGTATCTAGCTAAAAGTTTAAGAAAAACAGCAAAATGTACAGTAATAATTTAACTTTATGTTGTCAAATAACTTTATTTTGTTAAACAATAGCGTACGATACGTCTCATTGAGCTCTTAATGGAAGTCCCGGATTTAATGGATAGTTCTGGCTGACCAATACCTTTGTCTTCATATTTCGTTCGTTCGTATATAGTGTCACCGACAATAACCAAGAAAAGTAAAAGTAAAGTAATTGTTGTCGAGGAAAACGTACTGTACTTGGTGTGCCAAGCCGAGGGTTATCCCACACCCAGTGTTACTTGGAGGAAAAATGGCAAGGTGCTTCAATCAAACATCAGTAAAACCGACTTCATCATTGACGACACCAGTGAAAAAGACGCTGGAAAGTATGAATGTGAAGCATCTAACTCTGTAGGAACAGTGAGTTACACTGTGGAAGTTACAATCAAAGGTAAATTGCTCGCGAACACGTTTCAATGCAATATTGAGCGCAATGTAGAGAAGGAATCTTCCATATATTTTTTGAGCCACACAACCATGCGGAATTGTTAAAAGCAGCAAGAAAGTAGCAATCATTTATCTATATATCTATCAATCCATCCATCCATCCGTCCGTCCGTCTGTCTGTTCTTCCTTCCGTCCGTCAGTCCTTCCCTCCGTTTGTCTGTCTTTCCGTCTGTTCTTAATTATTAAATGTGAAGGAACAATTAGTTACAATTGTAGGAATAATTAGTTACAACTGGAAGTTACATTCAAAAACAAAATAGCTAGATCAAAAAAGGATTGCTTTCTAGCACGTTTCATAGTAGCGAACAAAATAAATTGTTTGAAAGAGATAAGCAAAAGGACTCTTGCATCGTTTTGTACAGTCATGATAAAACTGCGGAATTTCTAAGAACAGTCTCTAGGAAGCGGTAATCAGTACAAATTAGAAACTATCAACAACTCATCAACTTCTTTAATTCGTGATAAACAATCTTATATTTTTCTGTCTACTGTATCTTGTAGGTTCGTCGTGTAACGAGACAACTCTTCACATTATTTATATCATTGTCATCCTCGTGTTGTTGATTATTATTCTTATTCTGATTATCGTCCAACGGAGACAGCGCAATGGTGCGGGTAAGTTACCTTTTGCTTAGGAGTTGCATATTCTAATTTTCCGCGTATATTTAGATCAGATGTGATCTATCATTTTTTTTGTTTTCTAAAGTAGATGAATTCAAATGAATTCTCTGTTCACCCTAAAAACATCAAACTTGGTCAAATGACCAATTCCAACGTGAGCTTTCATATGGTGGTGTCTGTTTCACGATTGGAAATTTGAACCAAACCCCGGTTACCAGTGTCCATTTTCGAAATGGCCAATATCAATCATCAACTGGTCTGCATTTATAAAACTTGACCATATATCCCTTGCGATGTAATTGGTCGGAGCTCCATGCATGCATACGCGGTTATCGAGTATTGTTGCATTATTTAATTATCAAATGCAAAATGATCTCTTCCTGAATACACTGGAGAAATCTTCAGAGAATTAGAATCAGCCAAACGTTCCTTCGTGATTGCGCCAGGCCATGAATTTTACTGTAAAAAAAAAATGCTTACCGATATTTTTTTGTTCTCATTTCAGTGACCTCAAATACAAATAGGTGAGTTTCCCTCAGCATTACAGAAACAAATCATTTTTTACAGAGATCTTGCTGTTAGTTATGACGCCTATAGAACTCACCTTACACGGTTCAATCACCATGTGATTTTCCCAGGAAACGCAAAAAACCTCCCCAGTAGCATTGAATCATTTAAAACACCGTAAGATAAGGCCTACAATGCACTTTGTATTTAAGCTCAGCTTGTGCGGATATTTAATCTTTGCTTCTTACATACTATCTACATGTATTTGCATGTAAACGGCGATAGTCGATAATCGTTGTCCCTGTTAAAGTTGGAAATCAGCAGAGATAGACATTAAGAATGGTTACTAAGAAATACATTGGTTAACGAAGAAGAAATGCAGTTTGAATGTAAAGACCTTGCAAACACGTTGATTAGTTTGGTAGCTCCGGTTTTTGTTTTTTGTTTTTCTGTTTTTTGTCATTTCAGTTTTTAGCATAGCTCTTTATCAGTCTATGTTTCAAGCAACATAACCAAAATGTTCTGTAGAACATTCCAAGTATTGAAACAAGCGTTGATTTATTTCAGGAGAAAAAAATGTGCAGAGTGTGGCGGAGAGTTTGTTGTCCTGGTAAGTAAATTAAGAAGGTATATAAGTAAAAAACATGCGAAAATAATGGTAAACATCACAGGTGAAGAGATAGATATAATTACAAGTTAAAACTAAGAACTAAGACTACATCGTTTATCGTATGACTGAGAAAATAACTTCATTGTGATTGGCTGAGAGCAGGCCAATTGATCGTTAATTCTTAATTTCCACGGCAGTGCAAATTAACCCGCACGCCTTCGCAACTTTGGAAATTCTTTTGGAAATTCTTTTGGAAATTCTTTCAAATTACACTCAACTAAAGGCTCGTGCAATTTTCAGATATTTTTCAAATACCTCTCGCATTGTAAATACGTAACTGCACTCGCATTCATTCAATTACCACTACAAATTTTCTGCACAAAAAAATAATAATATTACAAATGCAGTTCAAAATTTGAAAAAGTAGTTCATGATACTATGTATTTTTTCAAAGTTTCAGTACTTGCTTTATTCAACAGTGCGTTAGAAGATTTAGAAGAAAATGTTGTTCGACAGTAATTCATGATCAAAACCAGCACAATAATAAACTCTGCAAAGTTTCACGTATTTATTGCCAATACCTATGCCTTATACCATTCCTTACCAGAATCCTCTAGCTGTGAAACCTGACCAACAGTCCTCTAGCAACAAAGCGTCTGGTGACTCCGCAACCTATGCAGCTCCAACCAGGGGAGACTACATGCCTCTTCACCCTTCGGGACGAACCTGGGAAATTAACCGAGAACAGGTCAAGATAACTAAAGTTGTCGGTAAAGGAGCTTTTTCTCGAGTTGCCAAAGCAACAGCGTGGAATGTAAGCGGCAACGAGGAGCACACAACCGTTGCTGTCAAAATGTTAAAAGGTACGATTAGAAATTATGAACTATCGAAGTGCTTGATCTAAGACTAAAGATGATGTTATTCAAGCCAATTTTTAATCCATGTCACTCGAGACAACTTTCGATGCAACTTTGTCGCGGTAGCAGCGGTATGTTACACGAGGGATTTTTAATGCAACATGCAAACATCTCACAACAATGTTGCAAGTTTTTGGATCGCTTTCAAAAACCTGTTAAAAGTCGCCCTGTGCGCCATAATGNGGGGGGGGGGGGGCCTAATTCGAGGATTAATAGCCCGGAAACAGCCCTTGTCTGACACAACCGGGCGACAGTATAGCCGAACATAAGTCTTACTACAAAGACATGACGCAGTTCTTATATCAAGGAGATCTGGTTAATACAAACTTTAGCAATGCTCTAATAAAGTATTCCCACAAAGTTAGAGGGTAAATAAACGGCAATGAAGAAGCAGTCCAATATCTGACCTTCTACATTGACCCGACTAACACTATAAACAATCGTGACACCAACTACGCGAACGGGCTGCGACAATAGGGCGTAGACTTGCGATATGCTAAAGAGTAACTTATTACACTAGGAGGCGATCAAAGGTCCATACGCTAATTGTAAAACAAACGGCTAAAAAAACCAAGCACTGTGCTGAACAGATACGCTAAAAGGAAGTCAGCCAATGAAGAAACAGTCCAATACCTGACTCTCCACACTGACTAGACTGCTGTTAAACAATAAATAACTATAAAACCGATGGTTTAGTCCCGAAGGCTACCGAGCAGGGACAAGTTTGCGTTCAAAGGTAGTCAATTTGCTGTGTGAGAATAAAACAGCCAGCCATCTATCGTCTATCATCATAACAAATCTCGATCAATTCAAAACTCTGTGCATACACAGTAACACCAAAATTCACATCCATTCGATTTAATAACGGAAGAACGATTTTTCAGAGAGGAAAATTTAAATTTATTTTTTGATAATGATAACTGATAGTGGTATTTTGGTTTCCCAAGGAGTCCCAGCGTCAGCGACAATTAACGATCTGCCAAATGAAGTAACAGATAATACTATCACTCTGAAGTGGGACGAACCGCAAAATAATGGAAGAGTAATCACACAGTACACTGTGTACCAAAGAATAGTGACTGATGGTAAGCCAGGAGAGTGGATCAAGCTAACGACAATTACAGATGTCTCAGTGAGGCAATTACAAGTTGAATTGAAGAAAGGCGAGGTGAATGAATTTGTGGTTACTGCAACAAACGAATTTGGTGAGAGTTTAATAGAAGATGGAAAGATTACGAGAGTCAAGGCAATCGGAGGTAAGTTCTATATTAAACTAAACTGTCTATTTGTCAATGAAATTCCAGAATTGCTGAGCTTAAAACGTCGCTGAAAGACCAGGAATTTTTAGTTCATTAGTTCTGATGTATCAATAAACATGTAGGTTGCGGCCATTCAAACACTAAGGGCTCATTTTCGAGAATTGTTACGCGCTTCTGAACCCAATTTTTCCACCGAATAGTTCATACAACAGTGATTGCCCCTATTATATGGACTGGCACAAGGATTTGGGCTTTCAGATTTGCCGAGAACATTTTGGACAGAAACAATCCTTTCTTCAAACACGATTTGGTTTAAAGCAATAGATTTGCTTGTGGGGTCGTGTATCTAGCTAAAAGTTTAAGAAAAACAGCAAAATGTACAGTAATAATTTAACTTTATGTTGTCAAATAACTTTATTTTGTTAAACAATAGCGTACGATACGTCTCATTGAGCTCTTAATGGAAGTCCCGGATTTAATGGATAGTTCTGGCTGACCAATACCTTTGTCTTCATATTTCGTTCGTTCGTATATAGTGTCACCGACAATAACCAAGAAAAGTAAAAGTAAAGTAATTGTTGTCGAGGAAAACGTACTGTACTTGGTGTGCCAAGCCGAGGGTTATCCCACACCCAGTGTTACTTGGAGGAAAAATGGCAAGGTGCTTCAATCAAACATCAGTAAAACCGACTTCATCATTGACGACACCAGTGAAAAAGACGCTGGAAAATATGAATGTGAAGCATCTAACTCTGTAGGAACAGTGAGTTACACTGTGGAAGTTACAATCAAAGGTAAATTGCTCGCGAACACGTTTCAATGCAATATTGAGCGCAATGTAGAGAAGGAATCTTCCATATATTTTTTGAGCCACACAACCATGCGGAATTGTTAAAAGCAGCAAGAAAGTAGCAATCATTTATCTATATATCTATCAATCCATCCATCCATCCGTCCGTCCGTCTGTCTGTTCTTCCTTCCGTCCGTCAGTCCTTCCCTCCGTTTGTCTGTCTTTCCGTCTGTTCTTAATTATTAAATGTGAAGGAACAATTAGTTACAATTGTAGGAATAATTAGTTACAACTGGAAGTTACATTCAAAAACAAAATAGCTAGATCAAAAAAGGATTGCTTTCTAGCACGTTTCATAGTAGCGAACAAAATAAATTGTTTGAAAGAGATAAGCAAAAGGACTCTTGCATCGTTTTGTACAGTCATGATAAAACTGCGGAATTTCTAAGAACAGTCTCTAGGAAGCGGTAATCAGTACAAATTAGAAACTATCAACAACTCATCAACTTCTTTAATTCGTGATAAACAATCTTATATTTTTCTGTCTACTGTATCTTGTAGGTTCGTCGTGTAACGAGACAACTCTTCACATTATTTATATCATTGTCATCCTCGTGTTGTTGATTATTATTCTTATTCTGATTATCGTCCAACGGAGACAGCGCAATGGTGCGGGTAAGTTACCTTTTGCTTAGGAGTTGCATATTCTAATTTTCCGCGTATATTTAGATCAGATGTGATCTATCATTTTTTTTGTTTTCTAAAGTAGATGAATTCAAATGAATTCTCTGTTCACCCTAAAAACATCAAACTTGGTCAAATGACCAATTCCAACGTGAGCTTTCATATGGTGGTGTCTGTTTCACGATTGGAAATTTGAACCAAACCCCGGTTACCAGTGTCCATTTTCGAAATGGCCAATATCAATCATCAACTGGTCTGCATTTATAAAACTTGACCATATATCCCTTGCGATGTAATTGGTCGGAGCTCCATGCATGCATACGCGGTTATCGAGTATTGTTGCATTATTTAATTATCAAATGCAAAATGATCTCTTCCTGAATACACTGGAGAAATCTTCAGAGAATTAGAATCAGCCAAACGTTCCTTCGTGATTGCGCCAGGCCATGAATTTTACTGTAAAAAAAAAATGCTTACCGATATTTTTTTGTTCTCATTTCAGTGACCTCAAATACAAATAGGTGAGTTTCCCTCAGCATTACAGAAACAAATCATTTTTTACAGAGATCTTGCTGTTAGTTATGACGCCTATAGAACTCACCTTACACGGTTCAATCACCATGTGATTTTCCCAGGAAACGCAAAAAACCTCCCCAGTAGCATTGAATCATTTAAAACACCGTAAGATAAGGCCTACAATGCACTTTGTATTTAAGCTCAGCTTGTGCGGATATTTAATCTTTGCTTCTTACATACTATCTACATGTATTTGCATGTAAACGGCGATAGTCGATAATCGTTGTCCCTGTTAAAGTTGGAAATAAGCAGAGATAGACATTAAGAATGGTTACTAAGAAATACATTGGTTAACGAAGAAGAAATGCAGTTTGAATGTAAAGACCTTGCAAACACGTTGATTAGTTTGGTAGCTCCGGTTTTTGTTTTTTGTTTTTCTGTTTTTTGTCATTTCAGTTTTTAGCATAGCTCTTTATCAGTCTATGTTTCAAGCAACATAACCAAAATGTTCTGTAGAACATTCCAAGTATTGAAACAAGCGTTGATTTATTTCAGGAGAAAAAAATGTGCAGAGTGTGGCGGAGAGTTTGTTGTCCTGGTAAGTAAATTAAGAAGGTATATAAGCAAAAAACATGCGAAAATAATGGTAAACATCACAGGTGAAGAGATAGATATAATTACAAGTTAAAACTAAGAACTAAGACTACATCGTTTATCGTATGACTGAGAAAATAACTTCATTGTGATTGGCTGAGAGCAGGCCAATTGATCGTTAATTCTTAATTTCCACGGCAGTGCAAATTAACCCGCACGCCTTCGCAACTTTGGAAATTCTTTTGGAAATTCTTTTGGAAATTCTTTCAAATTACACTCAACTAAAGGCTCGTGCAATTTTCAGATATTTTTCAAATACCTCTTGCATTGTAAATACGTAACTGCACTCGCATTCATTCAATTACCAATACAAATTTTCTGCACAAAAAAATAATAATATTACAAATGCAGTTCAAAATTTGAAAAAGTAGTTCATGATACTATGTATTTTTTCAAAGTTTCAGTACTTGCTTTATTCAACAGTGCGTTAGAAGATTTAGAAGAAAATGTTGTTCGACAGTAATTCATGATCAAAACCAGCACAATAATAAACTCTGCAAAGTTTCACGTATTTATTGCCAATACCTATGCCTTATACCATTCCTTACCAGAATCCTCTAGCTGTGAAACCTGACCAACAGTCCTCTAGCAACAAAGCGTCTGGTGACTCCGCAACCTATGCAGCTCCAACCAGGGGAGACTACATGCCTCTTCACCCTTCGGGACGAACCTGGGAAATTAACCGAGAACAGGTCAAGATAACTAAAGTTGTCGGTAAAGGAGCTTTTTCTCGAGTTGCCAAAGCAACAGCGTGGAATGTAAGCGGCAACGAGGAGCACACAACCGTTGCTGTCAAAATGTTAAAAGGTACGATTAGAAATTATGAACTATCGAAGTGCTTGATCTAAGACTAAAGATGATGTTATTCAAGCCAATTTTTAATCCATGTCACTCGAGACAACTTTCGATGCAACTTTGTCGCGGTAGCAGCGGTATGTTACACGAGGGATTTTTAATGCAACATGCAAACATCTCACAACAATGTTGCAAGTTTTTGGATCGCTTTCAAAAACCTGTTAAAAGTCGCCCTGTGCGCCATAATGCACGACATAGATTTTTAACGCAACATTGTTGCGTTAAAAATCGGCGTTTAATATCGGCTCGTGCAAAATCACCTTAAAACAAGATCACTTGTCGATATTTTTGTGGTTTTTTGTAGCGAATGCTCCAGAATCAGACAGAAGGGCCTTGCTGTCAGAACTTGAATTGATGAAAAAGCTGAAACCTCATCCTCACGTGATCAAGTTGATGGGATGTGTTACTGTATCTGGTAAAAGAAATACGGATTAGATATAACTGATATCTCACGTATACACCCAGCAGTAAGTCTAATGGCCAGAACACATCGGCTGGTAATCGAGCCTACCAAAACTTTAGTCATCGACGTAGCCGTTACCAGAACCTTGGCCAGAAACGAAGTGAAACTTCTAACGCAAGCTGACGATATTTTATTGTCTTACGAAGGCAGCTGAATGACAAACAGGCAATTGTAAGAATATAATAAGCCATTATCATCATGTTTTCTTCGATTTCAGTAGAATTACGTCATCCATATCTCTCAGGTATTCAATCATGGAAATTATGGCTACCAGAACTCAAAGCAGCTTCCATTGCATCTGTTTCTCCACATCCCCCTTGCTAAGCTTTTCAGTGTTTGCTAATATTTTTTTTCTTTTTAATTTCTGTTTCTTTTCCATATTTCCATAGATCCACTTCTTGTCCTTATTGAATATGTGCCTTACGGTGACCTGCGGGGATACTTGAGGAAGAGTCGGGGGCTCAACGACACGTACTTTAAAGACCCGGATGTGAAACCGCAAACCAGTCTGACATCGGAACAGTTAATGAGGTTCGCTTGGCAAGTTGCTGATGGAATGCTTTATTTGTCCTCAAGAAAGGTTTGGTTGCTATGCGATATTTTCAACTTTATTATTCATCTAGTTAATTCTTTCTCTTTCTCATGGTTAGTGCGCTCGCCTCCGGATCGAACGGTCCGTTTTGAGCCCTGGCCGGGGACATTGGGTTGTCTTCTTGGCAAGACACTTTACTCTCACAATGCCTCTCTTCACCCAGGTGTATAAATAGGTTTCGGCGAATTTAATGCTGGGCGTAACCCTGCGATGAACTAGCATCCCATCCAGGAGGGAGTAGAACTACTCCTAGTCGCTTCATGCTGCTGAAACCGGAGATAAGCATCAGCCTGATGGGTCACTCGTCTCGTATGCAGACTTAACCTTATTGTTTCACTACGTTTCCCTGAAGCCTTTCGAGTTTCCTTCATTCACTGAAGGGGATTGTGTGGTCTGTTTTTCCGGTAATAGCAGGTAATAGCAAAGAAGTAGGGCAGCGGTAAGCATAACTTTCTTTCAGATAATCCATCGTGACTTGGCGGCCAGAAATGTCCTTGTCGGTGAAGGAGAGAAATGTAAGGTGACAGATTTTGGGATGGCGACGAATGTTCAGCAGGATGATATCTGCACCAAACAAAGTCGGGTGAGAGTTTTCACGAATTACACTGTCGTTCCGCCACATGTCTAAAATAGAATTATGTAATTTCTTTCTATTGCTTTTATTTTTTTTTTCTTGAACAGGGTCGTCTGCCCGTTAAGTGGACTGCTTATGAAGCTTTGTTACATGGAACATACACAACACAAAGTGACGTGTGAGTATTAGTGGTGTACAAAGTCCTGGGTTAGTAGGAGTTNAATCTCGATCAATTCAAAACTCTGTGCATACACAGTAACACCAAAATTCACATCCATTCGATTTAATAACGGAAGAACGATTTTTCAGAGAGGAAAATTTAAATTTATTTTTTGATAATGATAACTGATAGTGGTATTTTGGTTTCCCAAGGAGTCCCAGCGTCAGCGACAATTAACGATCTGCCAAATGAAGTAACAGATAATACTATCACTCTGAAGTGGGACGAACCGCAAAATAATGGAAGAGTAATCACACAGTACACTGTGTACCAAAGAATAGTGACTGATGGTAAGCCAGGAGAGTGGATCAAGCTAACGACAATTACAGATGTCTCAGTGAGGCAATTACAAGTTGAATTGAAGAAAGGCGAGGTGAATGAATTTGTGGTTACTGCAACAAACGAATTTGGTGAGAGTTTAATAGAAGATGGAAAGATTACGAGAGTCAAGGCAATCGGAGGTAAGTTCTATATTAAACTAAACTGTCTATTTGTCAATGAAATTCCAGAATTGCTGAGCTTAAAACGTCGCTGAAAGACCAGGAATTTTTAGTTCATTAGTTCTGATGTATCAATAAACATGTAGGTTGCGGCCATTCAAACACTAAGGGCTCATTTTCGAGAATTGTTACGCGCTTCTGAACCCAATTTTTCCACCGAATAGTTCATACAACAGTGATTGCCCCTATTATATGGACTGGCACAAGGATTTGGGCTTTCAGATTTGCCGAGAACATTTTGGACAGAAACAATCCTTTCTTCAAACACGATTTGGTTTAAAGCAATAGATTTGCTTGTGGGGTCGTGTATCTAGCTAAAAGTTTAAGAAAAACAGCAAAATGTACAGTAATAATTTAACTTTATGTTGTCAAATAACTTTATTTTGTTAAACAATAGCGTACGATACGTCTCATTGAGCTCTTAATGGAAGTCCCGGATTTAATGGATAGTTCTGGCTGACCAATACCTTTGTCTTCATATTTCGTTCGTTCGTATATAGTGTCACCGACAATAACCAAGAAAAGTAAAAGTAAAGTAATTGTTGTCGAGGAAAACGTACTGTACTTGGTGTGCCAAGCCGAGGGTTATCCCACACCCAGTGTTACTTGGAGGAAAAATGGCAAGGTGCTTCAATCAAACATCAGTAAAACCGACTTCATCATTGACGACACCAGTGAAAAAGACGCTGGAAAATATGAATGTGAAGCATCTAACTCTGTAGGAACAGTGAGTTACACTGTGGAAGTTACAATCAAAGGTAAATTGCTCGCGAACACGTTTCAATGCAATATTGAGCGCAATGTAGAGAAGGAATCTTCCATATATTTTTTGAGCCACACAACCATGCGGAATTGTTAAAAGCAGCAAGAAAGTAGCAATCATTTATCTATATATCTATCAATCCATCCATCCATCCGTCCGTCCGTCTGTCTGTTCTTCCTTCCGTCCGTCAGTCCTTCCCTCCGTTTGTCTGTCTTTCCGTCTGTTCTTAATTATTAAATGTGAAGGAACAATTAGTTACAATTGTAGGAATAATTAGTTACAACTGGAAGTTACATTCAAAAACAAAATAGCTAGATCAAAAAAGGATTGCTTTCTAGCACGTTTCATAGTAGCGAACAAAATAAATTGTTTGAAAGAGATAAGCAAAAGGACTCTTGCATCGTTTTGTACAGTCATGATAAAACTGCGGAATTTCTAAGAACAGTCTCTAGGAAGCGGTAATCAGTACAAATTAGAAACTATCAACAACTCATCAACTTCTTTAATTCGTGATAAACAATCTTATATTTTTCTGTCTACTGTATCTTGTAGGTTCGTCGTGTAACGAGACAACTCTTCACATTATTTATATCATTGTCATCCTCGTGTTGTTGATTATTATTCTTATTCTGATTATCGTCCAACGGAGACAGCGCAATGGTGCGGGTAAGTTACCTTTTGCTTAGGAGTTGCATATTCTAATTTTCCGCGTATATTTAGATCAGATGTGATCTATCATTTTTTTTGTTTTCTAAAGTAGATGAATTCAAATGAATTCTCTGTTCACCCTAAAAACATCAAACTTGGTCAAATGACCAATTCCAACGTGAGCTTTCATATGGTGGTGTCTGTTTCACGATTGGAAATTTGAACCAAACCCCGGTTACCAGTGTCCATTTTCGAAATGGCCAATATCAATCATCAACTGGTCTGCATTTATAAAACTTGACCATATATCCCTTGCGATGTAATTGGTCGGAGCTCCATGCATGCATACGCGGTTATCGAGTATTGTTGCATTATTTAATTATCAAATGCAAAATGATCTCTTCCTGAATACACTGGAGAAATCTTCAGAGAATTAGAATCAGCCAAACGTTCCTTCGTGATTGCGCCAGGCCATGAATTTTACTGTAAAAAAAAAATGCTTACCGATATTTTTTTGTTCTCATTTCAGTGACCTCAAATACAAATAGGTGAGTTTCCCTCAGCATTACAGAAACAAATCATTTTTTACAGAGATCTTGCTGTTAGTTATGACGCCTATAGAACTCACCTTACACGGTTCAATCACCATGTGATTTTCCCAGGAAACGCAAAAAACCTCCCCAGTAGCATTGAATCATTTAAAACACCGTAAGATAAGGCCTACAATGCACTTTGTATTTAAGCTCAGCTTGTGCGGATATTTAATCTTTGCTTCTTACATACTATCTACATGTATTTGCATGTAAACGGCGATAGTCGATAATCGTTGTCCCTGTTAAAGTTGGAAATAAGCAGAGATAGACATTAAGAATGGTTACTAAGAAATACATTGGTTAACGAAGAAGAAATGCAGTTTGAATGTAAAGACCTTGCAAACACGTTGATTAGTTTGGTAGCTCCGGTTTTTGTTTTTTGTTTTTCTGTTTTTTGTCATTTCAGTTTTTAGCATAGCTCTTTATCAGTCTATGTTTCAAGCAACATAACCAAAATGTTCTGTAGAACATTCCAAGTATTGAAACAAGCGTTGATTTATTTCAGGAGAAAAAAATGTGCAGAGTGTGGCGGAGAGTTTGTTGTCCTGGTAAGTAAATTAAGAAGGTATATAAGCAAAAAACATGCGAAAATAATGGTAAACATCACAGGTGAAGAGATAGATATAATTACAAGTTAAAACTAAGAACTAAGACTACATCGTTTATCGTATGACTGAGAAAATAACTTCATTGTGATTGGCTGAGAGCAGGCCAATTGATCGTTAATTCTTAATTTCCACGGCAGTGCAAATTAACCCGCACGCCTTCGCAACTTTGGAAATTCTTTTGGAAATTCTTTTGGAAATTCTTTCAAATTACACTCAACTAAAGGCTCGTGCAATTTTCAGATATTTTTCAAATACCTCTCGCATTGTAAATACGTAACTGCACTCGCATTCATTCAATTACCACTACAAATTTTCTGCACAAAAAAATAATAATATTACAAATGCAGTTCAAAATTTGAAAAAGTAGTTCATGATACTATGTATTTTTTCAAAGTTTCAGTACTTGCTTTATTCAACAGTGCGTTAGAAGATTTAGAAGAAAATGTTGTTCGACAGTAATTCATGATCAAAACCAGCACAATAATAAACTCTGCAAAGTTTCACGTATTTATTGCCAATACCTATGCCTTATACCATTCCTTACCAGAATCCTCTAGCTGTGAAACCTGACCAACAGTCCTCTAGCAACAAAGCGTCTGGTGACTCCGCAACCTATGCAGCTCCAACCAGGGGAGACTACATGCCTCTTCACCCTTCGGGACGAACCTGGGAAATTAACCGAGAACAGGTCAAGATAACTAAAGTTGTCGGTAAAGGAGCTTTTTCTCGAGTTGCCAAAGCAACAGCGTGGAATGTAAGCGGCAACGAGGAGCACACAACCGTTGCTGTCAAAATGTTAAAAGGTACGATTAGAAATTATGAACTATCGAAGTGCTTGATCTAAGACTAAAGATGATGTTATTCAAGCCAATTTTTAATCCATGTCACTCGAGACAACTTTCGATGCAACTTTGTCGCGGTAGCAGCGGTATGTTACACGAGGGATTTTTAATGCAACATGCAAACATCTCACAACAATGTTGCAAGTTTTTGGATCGCTTTCAAAAACCTGTTAAAAGTCGCCCTGTGCGCCATAATGCACGACATAGATTTTTAACGCAACATTGTTGCGTTAAAAATCGGCGTTTAATATCGGCTCGTGCAAAATCACCTTAAAACAAGATCACTTGTCGATATTTTTGTGGTTTTTTGTAGCGAATGCTCCAGAATCAGACAGAAGGGCCTTGCTGTCAGAACTTGAATTGATGAAAAAGCTGAAACCTCATCCTCACGTGATCAAGTTGATGGGATGTGTTACTGTATCTGGTAAAAGAAATACGGATTAGATATAACTGATATCACACGTATACACCCAGCAGTAAGTCTAATGGCCAGAACACAGCGGCTGGTAATCGAGCCTACCAAAACTTTAGTCATCGACGTAGCCGTTACCAGAACCTTGGCCAGAAACGAAGTGAAACTTCTAACGCAAGCTGACGATATTTTATTGTCTTACGAAGGCAGCTGAATGACAAACAGGCAATTGTAAGAATATAATAAGCCATTATCATCATGTTTTCTTCGATTTCAGTAGAATTACGTCATCCATATCTCTCAGGTATTCAATCATGGAAATTATGGCTACCAGAACTCAAAGCAGCTTCCATTGCATCTGTTTCTCCACATCCCCCTTGCTAAGCTTTTCAGTGTTTGCTAATATTTTTTTTCTTTTTAATTTCTGTTTCTTTTCCATATTTCCATAGATCCACTTCTTGTCCTTATTGAATATGTGCCTTACGGTGACCTGCGGGGATACTTGAGGAAGAGTCGGGGGCTCAACGACACGTACTTTAAAGACCCGGATGTGAAACCGCAAACCAGTCTGACATCGGAACAGTTAATGAGGTTCGCTTGGCAAGTTGCTGATGGAATGCTTTATTTGTCCTCAAGAAAGGTTTGGTTGCTATGCGATATTTTCAACTTTATTATTCATCTAGTTAATTCTTTCTCTTTCTCATGGTTAGTGCGCTCGCCTCCGGATCGAACGGTCCGTTTTGAGCCCTGGCCGGGGACATTGGGTTGTCTTCTTGGCAAGACACTTTACTCTCACAATGCCTCTCTTCACCCAGGTGTATAAATAGGTTTCGGCGAATTTAATGCTGGGCGTAACCCTGCGATGAACTAGCATCCCATCCAGGAGGGAGTAGAACTACTCCTAGTCGCTTCATGCTGCTGAAACCGGAGATAAGCATCAGCCTGATGGGTCACTCGTCTCGTATGCAGACTTAACCTTATTGTTTCACTACGTTTCCCTGAAGCCTTTCGAGTTTCCTTCATTCACTGAAGGGGATTGTGTGGTCTGTTTTTCCGGTAATAGCAGGTAATAGCAAAGAAGTAGGGCAGCGGTAAGCATAACTTTCTTTCAGATAATCCATCGTGACTTGGCGGCCAGAAATGTCCTTGTCGGTGAAGGAGAGAAATGTAAGGTGACAGATTTTGGGATGGCGACGAATGTTCAGCAGGATGATATCTGCACCAAACAAAGTCGGGTGAGAGTTTTCACGAATTACACTGTCGTTCCGCCACATGTCTAAAATAGAATTATGTAATTTCTTTCTATTGCTTTTATTTTTTTTTTCTTGAACAGGGTCGTCTGCCCGTTAAGTGGACTGCTTATGAAGCTTTGTTACATGGAACATACACAACACAAAGTGACGTGTGAGTATTAGTGGTGTACAAAGTCCTGGGTTAGTAGGAGTTCAAAGGTATTTTATCACTTATTGTAGAGTTGTTATATAAAAAAGTGGTCATGACGGTACTTTGACGGAAATCTCACGCTTGCTTGATTAGAACTAAGTTGTAAAAGAAGTACTTACGACGTCAACTTCTATAATATTTATTAGTATCTGTTCCTCGCGTATCGTAACTTTATATAACGAACCTCTTTTCTCGCAGCTGGAGCTATGGTGTTCTGTTGTACGAGATCCTCACTGTAGGTAAGGTGTTTAATAAAATATTTTCATTTCTTTTTACGTTTGGAGCTAAATCCAAAAACAAATTTAGAATGCTAAGTGGAAGATTGCGTCACGTGATGTGATTACACTAATCGTGTCTAAGGAAACAACGTGGTAAATTTTGATGTCCGCTCGCACAACCCAAGGTGTGACTGTTGGTAAACATACAGTCTCAGCCGTACCTTGTATCGTCAATCACAGTAATCAATAATGGAATTGCGAGGCTGAGTATTCTAGGAAAGAGTATGCAAAGACTATCCCTTGTCAGGAAACGGAGGATGAGTATAGGTTCAAAAAATAGCGGTTACAGTGTACATGCAAACATCCAACACACATCAGTTTTCCTCTAAAATGAAGTATTTTATTTCAATGTTATGCATGTTAGAAACACCACGTTGTCTCATCTACTAGGTGGATCTCCGTATCCGGGAATTAACGCTCGGCAAATCGCCAGGAAACTACAAGATGGATTCAGAATGCCAAAACCAAAACATGTGGATAACAAACTGTAAATAAATAAATAAATAAATTTATTTCGTCTCTCATAATTTTAGTGTGTAGTATCAATGTATACTGTTAAGAGAACTGCTATATTTTAAGCGAGCCAACAGAGTGAGAGTTCCATTATTGTTTACTGCCTCCTTCGATCGTTGTTAGCATCGCCTAAGTGATACCTCAAAGTGCCCGAATGGTCTAGTCCTATGGTCCTATACCACACGTGTAGCGCAGTTATGGTAGAAACAGCTACTCAGTTACTTCGGGCAAGATTGGTCGTGATGACGAATCACCCAAAGTCATGCTGATAAAGAAACTTTTTTGCCGGGTCAATATTTGATCATTTCTATTTTTAAGTTGATGTCTAGATGCCAAGAACTGACTATTTATGTACTTAACGTCACCACTGCATTGCTATGGCAACTCACGTGTCCGTTCACCAAAAGTCCATGAAGTATCAACCGTTTAATTTCAAGATGAAATGCTCTTTCGAAACCTCTAATACTATGTAAACCTTTTTTCCCTCGTTATTTATTAGATACCAGATTATGCTCAAGTGTTGGGAAGAAAACCCAAGTGCTCGACCAACCTTTGCCAAGCTTAAAGACACAATGAAAGAAATGGAGGGAAACCACAGGGTAATGCATCTGGAGATACAAGCCTAGAAAAAAGGGCCCGAAAATTGTTATTTTCTTTTACTCTAATTTTGTTTTGTTTTGTTTGTTTTGTTTTTTGTAATTCTATTTTATTTTTATTTATTTATTTATTTTTGGCTATTCTTCTTCTTATTAGGTTCGTAACCGTTAGCAAGAGTGACAAGTTTCTTTTGTAAAGGACTGATAACTAATAACATCATTAAATGTTTTCTTTTCACAGACTTACGTCAACCTCAAAAAGTATGACGACAGTTTGTATGCAAATGTTGAGGATCTTACAGCTGAATGACTGTTTTACCTGCTTGCTTTGTAATCTAGATGCTTTTGTCATGTAGACAGCTACCGTGTTATTCCTAGCTTAGGACTCGTTTTTTTATAACTTTATTAGCCGGGTGAGTGCAGCTACCTTATCCAAGATTTATCACCTCTTATATGCAGCTTGGGGGAAGATTGAGAAGCCGTGACGAGGGCCCATACAGACTTCCCTTCCCTTCTAAACCTGTAACAGGTTAAAATCCCACTCAGAAACAGTGCGAGCTGCATTCACTGGTTTTAAAACCGAGATTTTTCAGGAGCTTTTTTCCGTTGATATTATTTTCTTTCTGAAAGGCGACTATTTGAATGTCTTTTTTACTCTGGAGCTGAGAGGTTGCAAACTACTGGAAAAGACCGTTTTTAATATTGCATTCACGTAATTTTAACCCTGGATAATTAAATGCTAGAGTAGATGCGTTAATCACTAATGACATTGTGTACACGAGGATCGATCTTGTTAAGACCTAGTCTGTAAATGCTTTTAGCCAATTTCAATTGCACTGTGACGATTCCAGGTTTTACCCACAAAAAAATGGATGCATGAAAAATCGCTTGAG